AATGTATGTATATAAATATATAAATATATATATGTGTATATATATTTATATATTTTTTACACGTTTAGCGCCGTAACAACAAATATCTAATACGACTTTAATCCCGTTACGCCGGAAAACAATATTACGCGTAGTGTTCCTGCGTTACTGCCGGTCACCGGTGACCATAAATAAAAAAAATAAAAAACAGCTCCAGACAAAAATCACTACAGAGTGTAGATGTATTGGTCATCGGTAGTTAATCGCGGCGCGTAACGTGTTAAAGAAGGGGGAAAAAAAAAGAATAAAAAAAGAAATTTTTGTATATTGGCGAGCATAATGAAAACGTATTTGTCGAAGAGTGACAAATATTTGGTGAACTGGTCCAAAAGAAAGAAGAATATAAACAAGAATTTAAAAATATTACAAATAAAAGAGGAGAGGAGGAAAAGAGAGAAAGAGAGAGGAGAAGAAAATCAAGCGGGCAAACCCCGTTATGTTATCTGTTCTCCTGTCGTTCTGGATCCACGTTCTCTCGCGAATTTAATGTCGATTTAAATAAAAAAAGAAGGAAAAAAAAGAAAAAAAAAGAAATATATAAAATCCAATATACAAAACTTTAAACGAATTAGAAGTATTTGCACATACACAAACGTACATACACTGTCATCGATTTACACGTGACAGCACCTTCTCTTCTTCTATATTGCTCACGGGTAAACAAAAATATATATATAAAAAATAAATAAAAGATAACGAAAGAAAGAAAAACTACACATACATAACAAACAGACAACACACACACACATTAAAATGTTCGCTTTGCTCTTCTAGCACAATACAACACAACTTTTTGACGACTGACAGAAGGATATTGCAGAACGAGACATCGTGATTCTTCTTCTCGTAATAGAAAGTGCAGCATTGACAATCGAATTAATAAGTTTCCTCTTTGAAAGTGAAAGAGAAGGGCAGAGAGAGCGAGAGAGAGAGAGAGAGAAAAAGAGAGAAAGAAAAAGAGAGAAAAAGAAAGAGAGAGAGAGAGAGAGAGAGAGAGGAGAGAGTCCTTTAAAACGAATTATGTAAAAAGCTTAAAGAGAACGAACCTAAAGTGCATTATACTTAATAGAAAGCCACCTATATAATCTCCGTGTTAGTTATCATTCTGAAATTCAAACCTTTACAAGATAAAACTATGATTTGATGTAAGGGGAGAGAGAGAAGAGAAAGAGAGAAAGATAGTAGTACACATTGAACGTTTAAATAAGAAAAAAAAAATAAAATATTAAATAAAAGGCTTTCTTCTAAACTATTACACCAAATTTTCGTTAGTTAGTTAGTAAGAATATAACCGGACGAGTCCGTTCGATATCGATGACTATGTCATAGTTAACGAATGTCGTTGTTGATTACACTTTAATTAAGTGATATAATTAATTCTTGCAATTGATTAAATGCCGTAACGCTAATTACGTGATTAAATCGACTTTATCTAACAAGAAAAAGAGACCTATCTCGCTTTCCTTAATCTGTTCTATTATTATACTATTTTGCTTGTCTCTATCTATCTCTTTCTATTTTTCTCTCTTTCTCTCTTTTTCACTTCCTCTCTCTCCCTGTCTCCCTCACTCCCTCTCTCTCACTCTCGCTATCTCGCTGTTATTCTTCTTCTTTCACTCGCATTTTTAAATCTGTGTCAATCTCGGGAATGTAACTGCGGAGCAATACTAATCTATATTTTATTCTTTATAGGATGTCCCAATATTGATTTGATCGTTCTTATCGGCTAACAGGGGATAATCAAAATGAGAAATATTTGTCCATAATGTATTCGTTAATTATTATAACTCTTTTTAAGAATGTAATGATAACTTTTTTTTGTATCTTTTTTTTTCTTTTTCATTTTTTTTTTTTTTATAATACGAGAGAGATACATCTGGAAATCTATTTCTACTTATGATCCTACTCTTGTAAAAAGTTAATATTACAATCGCGTTCGGAATAGTTGTGAGATACCGAGCATATACTAATTAATTACTTAGGAATTTTAAGGATATCGATTAAATGAATACTCCGCTTAACACACACACACACACAGACATCCGCTGGAACGATGAAATTCAATTCCAGCTTAAACGTTAGATACCAAATTGTTAAGATGGTCCTCCATCTATAAGTACCTTCAACGTTTTTTCTTTATTATCAAGATGTGTAACACTGCTTTAAGATCGAATCAATCTCTCACCAGTATATGTATACTTTTTCAAATGTTCAAGAAGAAAAGAAAAGGAAAGAGAGAGAGAAAAAGAGAAAGAGGGGAACGATAATGAACACTAACATACTCAATATAACGAGTCGCTGATAAGATTCTCTAACGATGTACCTTCCTCACGGATATTATTCATATTGAGACACATTTTTTTATTTTTTAAACGCATCGTTTAACGATAACATAGCTAATTGTACGCTTAATTTGATATATTCCATTAGAATAATTCTAATATGTATAAGTTTCGAGGGAATAAGTTTTTAACAAAGGATAATAGATATGTGTAATATTTAATTAATCACTTTTACAACAATCATTTGTTTGATAATTTGTATACATATATATATACACACACGGACACACGTATCTTGGGCAATATATATCTTGGTGTTCATTCAATTATTAAGGAATTTAATTAGCCAGTCATATATAGTGTATCAATTAAACTCGTGTAAATTTGTTTTTTAATTATTCGAGCAATAATATGTCGCAATGTCGTATCTAGCAAAATAATCGGTCTACGTCTGCAGTAGCCTTCCGTCGTTTACTTAATTCATATGTTTAACAATCACATCTTTAGACTGTGTAGAAATGATTATTCATAAGTAATATTATTAAGAATAGGGGAGAAAAAAAATAACAAAAAGGGAAAGAGAAAGAAGTAAATTCTTTACGACGAAAGTTGCTCTTTCCATATCTCTTCTTCTAATTATTTTCTCGAAATAATGACGTAGACAAAAAAAAACAATATTATTACAAAAATTTATTATCGGCTTACGTAGAGTAAATAGCCTAATTATTATTATAATTATCATTATCATCATCATCATCATTATTATTATTATTATTATTATTATTATTATTATTATTAATTTTATTTTTATTATTATTATTACTATTGTTATTGTGTCATTGTTATTGTTATACTTAAATAATTTTACGTGGATAATTCGGTTTAGTCATGACCAATATATGCAAAATGAAGGAGAACATATTTTTTTCTCATTTATTAATCGATAAAAAGCGAATCGATTTTGTACTCACGTCGATTATCTTTTATATACTCGTATATCACAGCGACCATTTACTTTGGTATTAAATATACAATGGATGTGCGAGCTAATAATAATTATGATAAAAAACAACAAGAACACAACAGAATAGATCATTTGTGAGAAGAAGCAGAATACTCGGTTACAAATGATTGCTTCTATCAGGTGCTCCTTCTAGGCAGAAATAAATAATACGACTGTGTAAACTTTTGTCTCGTTCAACAAGATCTAGCTATCGATATGCAGAATGTTTTTCTTTTCAAACGAATACGTAACTACGCTTTATACTGCGTGCAAACAATGTTTACGCATTATTTATTTATTTATTTTATGCATTGATTTTTATAAAAAAAAAACTTCCTTATGAATAGAAGCTGACTTTTTGAGAAGATATATTTTCTTACTATATTTTTATTATTTTTTTTTTATTTTTTGTAAATCAACGCACGAATTTGGTGATACGATATGTACGCGGGTACGGGGGTTAAGTTGTTTTTTTTTCTCTTTTTTCTTTTTTCTAAAAGATACTCGTAGACGAACGACGTTTTCATCGATCAACTGATTTGACGGATCGCGATCGAACCAATTGTCTATTGTTTATAATAACCATCTGATAAAAACAATGAAAAGATAGAAACATTCTGTACACGCATATATATGAGGACAATTGGAAAAACTCACCCGTTTCGGTACTGATGAAATTTCATTCTTCGAGTGAAAAAGAAAATGAAAAATGAAAGCAGCGAGTTTTTCAAATTGCCCTAATATTTTATTTTTCCTTCAAATCACGCACATATGAATTTTAATGGGTCAATTGCTTTGGGACATCCTGTGTATAATAAACAAGCAATATTATTACGAACAACACCTTTCTACATTCTATATTCTATATTCTTCTATATATTTCACGATTTACTATCAAATTTCGCATAACAAAAAGAACATTTTGTAAAGCTTGGAATAAAACAAGAAGTGCGTTTAAGTGCGCACGTATACACACGCATAATTTAATCAATAAAATGTCGATATCATTATTCTCGTATGATCTTTCTTCGGCGAATCAGCCAAATTAATGACAATAGCGATCGTGAAAAGTCAATTCAGAATTAATTCTGTTGCTGAACGGCGAAAACGTTTACATAAAATTAACAATACAACCAACCAACAACCAAAAAGATGATGTATTTATTTGAAATCTGTCTCGTGAAGTGTATACACGCACGACGATGAAGATAAACGAAGATAAACAAAATTTGTTTAAAAGAAAAGAAAAGAAAAGGGAATAAATTAATATTTTGACGAACGAAAATGTAAAATTGAGGACCTTAAAACAACAACTCTTTTAAATATTGCTTTGAAACTGGCACAAATGGGGATCAAACTATCTATCATCTATTTGTCTATCTATCTTTCTATCTGTCTATTTATCTGTCTGTCTGTCTGTCTGTCTATCTATCTATCTATCTATCTATCTATCTATCTATCTATCTATCTATCGTTTATTTATTTCTCATTTCAAGCGATTCGTCTAACGTACGTCAAAACTTATTGTAAACTGAAATATAAAAATTCATTTCCTTGAAAAAAAAAGAAAAAGAAAAATAATGATAAAGAAGATGAAGAAAATATACTTATCGTAAATGAATTAGTCGTTCTTAACGACAAATATAATACAGTAACCTGAACATACTCGTCCATGTACAAAGCCTAAACCTAAGTATAATAAGCCTAAGAAAAATCATGCTGCCTTTTAACAGAAGAAGAAGAGAAAAAACAATATAATAATAATAATAATAATAATAATCATAATAATAATAATGGTATTAATAATAATAATAATAATAATAATGATAATAATAATAATAATAATAATAATAATAATAATAATCCTGAACAAAACAGGGAGGAACAACGAAAGTTCAATTTTTGTTTCTTCTTTTTGTCGTTCGTTTTTATGATCAGAAAAAAATGTGTTTTAATTAGTATAAGCATGAAAGTAAAAAATGCGGGGAGAATAATATCATGTTAATTGAATAGAAAGAAAGAAAAACAAAAAAAAGACAAAGAAACATATTTTTTTAAATATCGCCTATTATTAAATTTCTCTTCTAACATTTGATGATTAATTTCATTCATCAAAACCTATAGGATACAATGTGAAAACCTTAAAACTTAAGTCGAATCGCTTTTCACTACTCTCTATTCGTGTCTTTTTCAAAGTTATCGATACCAAGTATCATTCTTAAGGGTTTAAATCTTAATACTTTTATCCATTCGATAAGTATATTATATGGGACTCCATGAAAAACAACTAAAGATGCGTGCATTTGTGAAATATGTAACAATTACATCTTCGAAGATCGATAATATTTAATTACGGGATACACATGACTTTAACGCGTGGGGCAGAGTAACACGCGTGATTTCAATGCGTGGGGCAGAGTGATGCAATTAAGTTGGGCAATAATTTTTTATATAAATTAATTGGTAAAAAAAGAGGTAATATAAAAATAATAATTAACAAAAAACCCCTTTCTTTTTATTGTTTTTTCTTTTTCAAAAAATGTCACTCGTATCGTTGTCTCTGTCCCTTAAACAAAAAAAAGAGAGAGAAAGGGGGAAAAAAAGATATAATCTCTCTTCTACGAGAAAGAAATCAGAACGGTTTGTTAAGTCGTTCGATAGATTATAAAATGGATTGTAATGCAATGGAAATATGCGGAAGTAAATCTTACTTAGAATATTCGGCAAAGCTAACATCGTGTTACGATGATGAGAATAGTACGTATACGTAATAAGCCTGGATTATACGTATATGCGTGCGTGTAATTAAATAATATGCCTAGCTCGGGACAGACTCGCAATTAATTAATTTTGTACGATGAAACCCGCACGCGCACAAATGTTAGATTAATTGTATATTTGTTGGTCGATTGAATAAAACTTGTAACGGTATATATATATGTATATATTACACACATGCATACATATATATAAAATCAATTAAATGAGATTACTTGCGCGTATCGTTAGGAGAATGTGTGCGTATGCCTGAATGCTTGTGCGTATGTGTGTGCGCGCGTAGATATCATTTGCCGAAAAAAAAAGAAAGAAAAAAGAAAATTATTATATTATCACGAATAACATATATAAACAAATGCATTATATTATAATTATAATTATTAGCAGCGATTACCCACACACACACACACACATCCACACATATACATATTGTGTCATTTATATATGAAAATATCGGTGGCGAAAGAGGATTATATTTAAAACAGAAATTTAAGGGATCGTACGAACATCGAAATGAACACTGAACTATTGGTTCTTCGTTATTAAACAACAGTAATAAACGATTATAATGATATCCACGCGACGAGGACAGCTTATGAAATTTGTTTAAGGACATCGGACAACGCGGCTGTGCAGGCCAATAAATAGACTAATAATGCACATCTATCAATCGTGGAAACTATCTATATCATTCACGAGAAATAACCGATTATAATTCATTTCATTTTTCTCGCATCCTTTTTTTCAATTAATTTAATTATCAACAAACAACAACTCGAATTCGATAACCGATCATACAATTCTTTTATTTCTGCCTTTTCTCGTTCGCTCCTATTTCATGTTTTTTATTTTCTTTTTTTTTTGATATTTTTATTGTCAATCAAATTTTGTATAAACGAAGATCGCAATTGGAAAATATTTACGGAATGGTCGAGAAATTGCTTGAAGTAATAGACAATTTTTGACATAAAAATAATCTCCAAAAATGGCTCCACTTCGTGTCTATTTATCTTGTGTGTGTTTTTTAGAAAGATATATCTTAACGAAAAGACAGAGAAAAAAGAAAAGAAAATTCAACGTTAATACGCTTACATAGATTTATCGGTTATATAAGATATGATAATTATTCTACGAATAAATAAATGTACTGAATTATTTTGTAATATTTTTTAAAAGAAAAAAAAGGAAGATTTTCTTTTTAAACGAGAGCGCGAACACGAGTCGCTTTGTATTGTTTCTTATTATAAGTTTAAAAAAAAAAAAAGAAAAAAGAAAAAAAATGTAATAACACGTCATGCTTAAAATGTAAGTAGCGTGAAAGAAAGTTTATTATCGATAAAAAAAAACAAGAGAGAAAAAAAAATAGAAAAATAACGTCGTTCGGTAAGGATTCAGTCAATTTTAAAAGCTAAAATTTTTCCTAATCGCTAGGGAATGTTTTAGCTCTTCGGGAGTCAAAAAAAATGATTAATAAAAATAATATTAATAATAATAATAATAATAATAATATGTTGTCACTGTAATGAATATACATGCATATAACGTATATTAAATCTGTATTTAGATATTAACCTAAACGGTCATTTGTAATTGTCATGCATGATTATTATGGATGTACTCTATGTACTGTTGTGAAACATGGCACGAAGTGTACGCCGACAATATCCTTCTCGGCAACCCTGCATTTATTGAATTTTGTTCGTTTAAACCTTCTGTAATGACCGTGAGAGAGGAATTACGTAATAAACCAAAAAATTAAATTATAATAATAATAATAATAATAATAATAATAATATAATAATAATAAAGAGAACAAAATAATGTAACAGTAATATCATTGTGATATAATATCGTATCTTCTTTTTTACAGGTACGTCTGCTGCACGGCACAAATTTTCTTGTGCTTAAAGGCATTCGTAGAATAGTAGGCTTAGTTAGATCTTAAATTGTCCTTTGTAATTGGGTCTCGACAGACGTTTTGAATAGCGATGGGGAAACAAAATAGCAAATTAAAGCCCGAAGTGTTAGAAGATCTTAAACAAAATACAGAATTTTCAGGTATATATTTTTATGATATGTTAATTATTTTTGTACAAATATAAAATACACAAATAATGTCTAATATAATATTGAAAATGTTTGATATTTTTTGTTTGCAGATGCCGAAATTCAAGAATGGTACAAAGGATTTTTGAAAGATTGTCCGAGTGGACATTTAAGCGTGGAAGAATTTAAAAAAATTTATGGAAACTTTTTTCCTTACGGTGATGCCTCAAAAGTAAGTTTTCTTTTTCACAATAATAAGAATCGTTTAATAATGCGAGACGATGTTATCGTAATAAATCTTGTAGCTATAAGCATTTGAAAGTTAATTATTATGCAAATGATTTGTTAAAGTTTGCAGAGCACGTGTTTAGAACGTTCGATGCAAATGGCGACGGTACGATCGATTTTCGAGAATTTCTCTGCGCCCTAAGCGTGACGTCCCGAGGAAAATTGGAACAGAAATTGAAGTGGGCCTTCAGTATGTACGACCTCGACGGTAACGGATATATCTCCCGACAAGAGATGCTTGAGATCGTGACGGTAAGTAATCACGACATTAATTATCTCTCATCGAGTTGATCGATAACAGGAATGCAAATGTAAAGATATATACTATTATATGCTATGCTGTTCTATGCCTACTTATATTTATCCATTTAAAAGCGGGTCGATTGTTATAGCTTAAAGTGGACAAACTTTCTCCAACATTTCGTTTATCGATTCGCATAATTATTATTTCCAATTATTTTATACCTTTAAAGAATACATCCGTTTGTGACTAGAAGGTAAGCTCGCTTTTATTACCATGAATATCGTAAGGGTGAGAATATCAAAATTGCAGAAAAAAAAAGGGATGGAGGGAGAGAGAAAAAGAGAGAACAACAAAATATCTAATAATTACCTCCTTCCAGGCAATATACAAGATGGTAGGGTCCGTGATGAAAATGCCAGAGGACGAGTCCACCCCGGAGAAGAGAACCGACAAAATCTTTCGTCAAATGGACAAGAATAAGGACGGCAAATTGTCACTCGATGAATTTATCGAAGGTGCTAAGAGTGATCCCTCGATCGTGCGACTGTTGCAGTGCGATCCTAGTGCACAAGCTCAGTGAGACCCTGGGTCCGTGTGCGTTTCAAATGCCATCTGTAAATACGAATCGGGGCCCGGCCCAATCATAGCCCGGTTAGAGGCGATGCAATCATAGAAGGGAGTCATAGGAATAGAGGAAGCTGTCAAAACGAACACACACAGAGACACAGTCCTCCTTTACACCTACAACCATATATCGATACACTGACGATTACGAGAAATAACGAAACTAGAATGATAAAGAAAAGAGGAAAAAAAAGAAAAAAATAGAAAAAGAAAGAAATGATAGAAGTTTATTTAAACTTGATATCGTTAAACGTTATTAACGTCATTTACGTATGCATACAATTATCCCGTTACAACCACCACCAGTATATCACAATCACCACAACTATTATACCAACAACAACCACAAACATGTGGCGAGCATTCAAAACTCTGCAAGAAGAGACTTCAATTATACATACTACATATGTGGACACACAGAGAAAAAAAAAGAAAAAAAAACAGAGATCAAATAAAAAGAGGAGCATACAATGATTTTCACGAGGTTTAAAGACCCACAAGTTCGTTCTGGTAGATTCGCTCCCTCGCATCGTCTTCTATGTTCGCGAACGCCTCTTGTTGACTGGAGAAATAAAAAGAGAGAAAGAGAAAGAGAGAGAGAGAGAGAGAGAGAGAGAGAGAGAGAG